TTACATCATCAAGCAATATACGAATTGACCATTCAAAAACAATATACTAATTGTAGACGGGCTTGCAAACAAGCCATCCAACCCTTGATATATGTCGTTGAAAAGCGAGGCCTCCACTCTCTAGTGTGTGTTTAAGAAAGAAAAAAAAAAGATGATTCTCAAACACACACCGACTGTAATTCCATCACTAAGTTTGACCTAATTCCATTACTAAGTTTTTTAAATTATGCTATGTGTACTGCTTATTAAGATATTAGAAAGAAGGATTTCAAAACACTATTTGTTAGTGTCCCATCAATAGGAGCTTTTTAATAATTAAAAATTGTTTAACAATTTTCTAGCATTTAAATTGTTTATGTATTTTCCTTTTCTTTTTGAAATTCTTTCCCGTCAACTCTTCCCCGTTCTTTCCAAGGCTGTCAACCCGGTTTAGCCCCTTGGCCCGGTCAAGCAAGTGGACTGATGGTTAATGGTCGACTGTTTTAACCCGTTTAACTTAAGATATTAAAAAGAAGGATTTCAAAACACTATTTGTTAGTGTCTCATCAATAGGATTTTTAAATAATTAAAAATTGTTTAACAATTTTCTAGCATTTAAATTGTTTATGTGTTTTCCTTTTCTTTTTTGAAATTCTTTCCCGTCAATTCTTCCCCCTTCTTTCCAAGGTTGTCAACCCGGTTTAGCCCCTTGGCCCGGTCGAGCAAGTGGACTGAGGGTTAATGGTCGACCGTTTTAACCTGGATATATGAAAAATCGCTCGGTCAAGCAAGTGGGTTGAGGGTTAATGGTCGACCGTTAAGCCCGTTTAATCCAGATATATGAAAAAATCATTATATTGTTCATACATGTATATATTATATCAAATCTCATCTAACATATGAGTAATATCAATCTAACATCAATTTCAAATGTTCAACTTAAAATTCCTAAAAGATATGGTTAGAAAAATTGAAAAATCGAAAAAAGACGCATTGCATAAAAGAAAGAAAAAACAACATCGTGTGACCTCCAACCCGGTAACCATACAGTGGGTGTGTGTGGCCCGTTTTTCTCAGCGGGCCAACCTTTCCCATCTCAATTATTTCTCTCCTTTTCCTTTTCTTTCCTAGGAAAACTCTTTCCCTCCTCATTCTCTATATCTTCCCATCCACCCAACTCTTCCTCCAAAACCCATGTTTAGGGACGACAACGAGTTGGGTCAGGGGCGGACTATGCATATTCGTTATTAGAGTGGCTATATGGTACGATCTGGTTAAATTGGCCTGAATTGATCCGGTCTCAGTCCAGTCTTTTCAGGAATATAAGGACCACATATTGGATTTGATACAGTATGTTCCCAGTTCGGTCTTGATTTTAGATTGACCTTGTGGGGATTTGAGTAGTTTGAGGTCTGAAAGGGTGAGCAGTTGGTTAAGTTTTAGGTGTTGTGCTCTCTTATCCTGTCTTTAACCGGTTTTCGGTCCGGTTCCGACCTATTTTTTACCTCAAATCTAAGCACGAAATTGGGATTGAATTGTTTGCTATCCAGTCCTGGTCTGATCTCGTCCGGGTTATACAGTCCGGTTTCGGGTAAAACCAAAAAGCCCGGACCAAATAGCCACCCCTATCCGTTATCCTACCCAAAGTAGTTCAAGTTTTACCCATACTCATACCCACATAAGAATTCGGTAAACAATCAAAATCATGTCCATACTCATTCGGATTTCGGATATCCACGGTTATCCATGGGTAATAATTTCCGTTAGTTGACAACCTTTCCCATCTCAATATTTATCTCCCTCTCTCTCCTTTTTCTTTTCTTTCCCCAGAAAACTCTTTCTCTCCCCATTATCTATCTTTTCCCATCCACCCAACTCTTCCTCCAAAAACCCATGTCGATCTAGGGATGGCAACGGTTCGGGTCAGGGGCAGATAGTGCATATCCGTTACCCTAACCAAAGTGGTTCGGGTTTACCCATACTCATACCCACATAAGAATCAGGTAAAAAATCAAAATCATGCTCATACCCATTCGGGTTTCGGATATCCACAGTTATCCATGAGTAATATTTTCTCTTTATAACTTCAACCAACATGTTAACATTTATACATATACTCACATTACATAAGTGGAAAAGTAAGATAGTAATTCACTGGAATGAACACAATTAATTTCAAAGAACACAATTTCATGAAATTATTATATTCGTATGCTATATATAAACTTTGTTGAGAAAAATTATGATTATTTATAAATAAATTACATATAAATGTATATAATCGAACAGGTTCAAGTTAGATAGTAAGAAAACCATGTCCATTGATTAGTTATTTGATTGTTAGCATTGACATTATAAGCGAATTGATCAATTGTTTGTTTTATCCTCCATGGAATAGTGGACGTTGTTGTACAATGATAGCTTAGGGAAGGGTAGAACGCTTATCGTGCTGCTGTCTTATCCAGCTAGGAGAGTGCAATTGTGGTGAATTAGGAGACAAGGCATGTTTTCTATGGGCGATTCGTGAAAGTGAATCTGACATATGTGCTCTTTTTCTTCTACCTTGCTGTTTAGCTAAGGTGGATTCAAAATAAATAAAAACCTACTTATACTAACTCAAGTGAATGTTTTGGGGTCATGAATTCTTCAGTGAACTTAAGACGATGTCCTGTTGCTTTTGTTTGTATGTTAATTAGCTCAAGGTAGTTCTTGGTGTTTACCATTCAAATAGCATACTCTGCAAGCCTTCACCTGATGATGCCGACTTTCTCCTATTCTTTATTACTTCCCATCAATGGTGGTTTGTGATAAGGCCCTAGATGGGACTTTAGTTTCCAGAATCGCGCAGCTACGAATTGAGCTTGCTCAATTCCAAGAACACGAGCAAAACAGGGTGTTGTAGATGGATGGTCGATTTCGTGTAATTCCACACAACAGGGAAAGACTCGAAATAGATAAGTCGAAGCCTGGCCACGATCAGCATGATTAGTTGAACGATACAAGCACTCAAGCTGCTTAGAACTCTTTCTAAACAACTCTTAATCTCACGAAGCACAAGCTTTGTGAATCAAACTCGGGTTTGTATTCGAATCAATGAAAATCTGACAATTACAATGCAACTGAACTACTTAAATAGATCTAGGCTAACGTCTTAAACCATTCTGGAAGTCCTTAACTCAAACAAACACACAAAACAAACTCAAAACGGAGAAGGTAAGCATTGTAGTAGGAATCCTAATCCGAAGCGGATTCGGATTTGCTTGCAAGACAGTCTCCTTGGGAGCTTCCATGCGATCTTGCTGGCCTTCGTTGGAAGCTTTCAGGGTATGGTCTGGATCACCCAATGCCTCTATGTTGCTCTACGAAAATTGTAATTTCATGTGGTTGAATTCTTGGAACTCGATTCTCCTCCAAACCTCTCGAACCCAGCTCCACAAGTTGGTACCCAAGCTGTCTTCCAGACTTGGAGAATTCTAGGCAGTTTTCCAGTGTCAGCATAGCGTTTTGATCAGCTCGAAAATCGATCTTCTTGGCTTCCTTTCGAGCATCAAAACGTGTCCCGTTGTAGAGGGTTATCCCATCTTCCAAACAAGCCTCCAATTCCCCATTTCCATCGAGCCATTTGTAAGGAACGAGCTCGCAAAGTGACCTACCTGAAACTGTAGTAACACTTGGCAAAAATTCAGAGTTAGTTAAAGGGAATGAGTTGGATTCTTTGGCCATCAATTGGAGACTAGGAATTGATATAGGTGAGATCATATCAGGCCCCCTCTTGAAAAAGTGTTGCCCTCAACACTTTGGTCTTCCTTCGCTCGAATCATTCACAAAATTGAATCCAAACTGGGTCTGAATATGGCTGCTCAAGCTCGAGTTTCTGACAAAATAGGTCAGTGTTCATCGTGGAGTGAGTTGGGGTTTTCGAGTTGAAGCATACCCAGGCTAATTCAGGGACTCCACGATCTTCTCCTTGATCCCAATTGACTTTCTGACCTATCCACTTAACTCGAATTATCGCCACGATGGTCGAATCTTTGCTAGCTTCTTTCCCGCCATCGTCGTCATTCAAATTTTCCAAACCCAGAGAGTTCAATCATAAATTGGGCATTCTAGATACAGGAAACTTTGGGTCTAATTGATCGATCGGAGAGCTTCCTGAGATGGTTTTGAATTATTTTGCAGCAGCCGATCGAGTCGACTCTTCTCCAATCGTTCCAACCCATAAACTCAGTTTGTCGTCGTGCCTTCCTGTTTCCAGAGCATTTTTGGGTTGAATCGAGTTCGCCGACCCAGGGATCTTTGTTCCGTTCCAGCTTGCACACGAGTTTCCTGAGGTGATTTGGAGTGTGCGTGATGTTTCCGCGAGGCCCGACCCTTCGCCAGTGACTCCGATCAATTCTCCCTCTCTCTTACTCTGTTCTGACGGCGGGTTGCTGAGTTGTTGCCGTCGACGAAGCTTCTCCCTCTTGAATGTTGTTAACATAAAACGTCGGGCGACAAGATTAGCTTCCTGTGGTTCCTCTGGGGTTGCCGCACTGGATTCCCCTTTCTGCCGACGTCGAATGAGCTCGCAAAGTGACCTACCTGAAACTGTAGTAACACTTGGCAAAAATTCAGAGATAGTTAAAGGGAATGAGTTGGATTCTTTGGCCATCAATTGGAGACTAGGAATTGGTCTCGGTGAGATCATATCAGTTTGGATTCATTTTGAACCTTCTAAACTCATAGGTTTCTAACTTAAATTGCCTTTCAAATCATTGGAAGTCTTACATCTCTAATATGGTTATCCGTAAGGTATGGCTGAGGAAATAAAAGTAATAGAGCTCACCTAAGGTTAGTGAAGTCCTCTCTGTAAGTTTTCACACAGTGAATGTTGAACTCCGTCACCATAAATTGCCTTAACATATATGAGATCATTCACCTCCCGTCCAACTACATTACTCGTCCCACCCTCGAGGGCACAAACATGTGAGATCCACTTGTCTTTGCCATTTTGAATCACCAAATTTGTTTTTACCACTTTTCCCGTGGCACTATTTTCATTTACAGATATTATACAAAATAGATAGTCGCGTGCAGCTTACTAGTATAAATGAAAGTGTCAATGGAAGCCTAAAGTGAAAGAATCAATTATACATAAGAACCAAGCTTTAAACCTTCCAAAACCAACACTTCCTGTGTACAATAACGATGTAAATGAATCAAATGTGCTCTCTATCTCACTCTATTCCACCGCGTTGTCTCGTAATTCACGGCCATCCTCTCATGACCAAGAAGAACACCAGACAAAAGGATTGTAGTAAATAGTAATGTTTTCCTTATACGGCAGTCAATTTAATGGCTCTTCCCAACGGCTTTGCCGCAACGGAGAGCATTGGTAGGAATGAAGTACTCATTGGCAAGGCTTTGGACCGGAGACCAAACCCTGAGATAGAATTGTTGTCCAAGGTATTGCCTCTCCCATATTGCAGACCTCATGTTCCACATTCCTTGGTTGTCCAGTGACACCAATATGGCTGTCCATGAGTTTGGATACACCTGCAACAACACGAACACATGTTGAATCCACGATTAGAGCGAACGATTCCTAGTTGGGTCGAGCTTATGATCAAAGATTGTTTATTTTCCAAGTCACATTCTTACCTGAGTAGTGTGTCTGGTGAGAGCATCAACAAGGTTGTAAGTGCTTCTCTTAGCTGGTGCCCATTGACCAGAACCAAAGCTGCAGTGTATTCAAACCACAAAATGGTTAAGACCCTTTAGTTGGCTTTTACCAAAATTTGAGTAAAGTTCTGGACTTGGGATGTTTTGAGAGGCCTACCCAACAACCCAGAAGTCATAGCCATCAAGATGCCAAGATTGCATTGCGTTCTCGTCGTTCTGGAACACAACTTCGATGAAATCATGGAGAGAAGTTGGGATGACAGAAGTGGCTACGGTTGCAGCACCACCATTGGGTACGGTTTGGAGTGAGCTCGTGCTGAAAACTCCAGGGATGTTGAAGTAGTCAGCAAGCTTCAATGGAGTATCAGCATTGACATATGAGACCCCGTTCACAGCGTAGCGTTGCTTCCCGTTGATCAAAGGTGCTGAGTTCGACAATACGATTGTATTTGTCGTTGTAATCTTTCCATAGTGGAAAGAGCCCTGAGGATTTGGCCTGGCTGCATTTGCTGTCAAGTTCCACCTGCAGTGAGAATTTGACTCGTCAAATTAGCTTGGTTTACAAGAAAACTTTTTAAACCCTTTCTTCGATAGCTTATGAAGGTGAACTGGGTACCTGTAAGTTCTGGCTTGCTCCATGGAGCCATGAAGCTGGTAACTTGGTTCAGCAGGAAGTGGTCCAGATACCGGAGTTTTGGAGTTGGTGTAGTGCAGAACACCAGATGCCACCAGCTTTTTCGGTGTGAAACGAGTCGATGCAACGATGTAGTAGTCCTTGGGAGCTTGATTCAGTGTCACTAAGACATTGACAGATTGGCCAACATGCACATCAAGAGAGTCATACATGTTCTGAACAACATGAGAACCTTCAACCTCAATCAGCTTCATTGTGTGGCCCTGAATCCTAAAGTTCAAGGTATTCTTCAATCCTACATTAGAGACCCTAAACTTGTAGGTTTTTCCTGTAGACAAAGCGAGAATATGACAAAATAACAAAATTAGTGAGTGGCTCGAATGAATTACATGAATCTTTAGAAGGACTGTAATGGCAGGGGAGTTACCTTGATCACCACTGAAGGTGGCTTGGGTATGGCCATTTATAAGTACACCATCTGGGAAAGGTAGAGACTTGCCTGAATCCAGAGAAGCCTGTAATGCCTGTTACACAAAAGAGGATCATAATGTACAATGTTCTAAACTAACAGTCAAACCATCCAATATAATGAGCAGAGAACATTGTACAAACAAGAAACACAAGAGAAAACATTCAAGACAGCCTCCTTCAATATTCTTAAGAGCTTGTTCTACATAATAGACAGTTTCAGGCATTTGATTCAGTTGAACGCTCATTGCATTTGTCAACTTATGTATGACCTATCTTGGACTCAAACCATAAGCACAGTTGACCCATGTTGAAGACTCTCTTGACTAAACATCGAAAGAACAACCGAAATAAAAATTACAAAGAACAATCCTGCTCACCTTGTGGCCAGTCTTGTACCAGTCACCAACCAATAGAGTGAAATCTCCATCTGGAGTTGCATAAGGCACAGGGATTCTGGGCCTCTGGTACACATTAATGGCTCCATAACCACCAGCTGCTCTGTGGAAACCAGTGGATGGGAAATAAGTGAAAGACCCAATCTGATCTTTTGGTTGGAAATTGTACGTGTAATTGGAGCCAGGTGGGATAGGGCAGTTTGTTCCCAGAACTCCATCTTGCCATGAATTCTTCCTTTGCTTAATCCCATTCCTAGAAAAATTGCACAAAATCTATCATCCGAAAACAATCACCCAAAAGCATATAATGGCATCCATCCTAAGCTAAGGTTGCCAATCGAAGTCTTACCAGGTCAAAAGGAAAGGCACATCAAGCTTGTTGATGAGGTTGAGGACAAGGTTGTCATTTGTCACCACATCTAGTTGAGGACCAGGGAATTGCCCATTGATGAGAATCACCTGAGAGGGGATAACACGAAGAACAAAAGCCGGAAACTTTCAGACACATGGAACCAAACCCATTTCGCAGAATCACAAAATGAGCTCGAACCTAGAAGTAAAGCCAAAATCACCAAACCTGTTGAGGAGCTCCAAGAGGAGAAATGGTGCCATAAGTGACAGTCCAAGTGTAGAAACGATATGGGTCGTCTGCATTCACCAAGGAAACATCCAAACCAGCCAGCAGAAGAAGTCCAGAGAGTAGTAACGAGTGGAGCAAAACAGGCTTCCCCATTTTGGATCTGCAGCACAAACAACAGCTTTCCCCACTGGAACCCAAAAGAACAGAAGTCAGCTTCAAAAGAACCAAAACCAGTAAAAAATCACTCTCAAAATGGAAACTTTATCTAGGACAGGAAGATACCCAGAGTTTCCAGGAAAAGTTTGGCCGTAAAGGGCTATTATCCAAGAAGGGTTGATTTGGGAGCTGTGAGAGCCTATGAAGGGACTTAAATAAGTAGAGAACAGAGCGTCTTTAATTGCTGGGTTGGTGCGCCGAATGAGGAATGTTGAGACCAAATTTATCCTTTCGAGAGACCATTTTCTTATATTTTAGTGCTGAAAATGATGGATGGTGATCATTTAAGGTCGCAATTACAGCTTTACAAAAGAAGAAAGGAGGTCGCAATTACGGCTCAATCTACGCGTTTTTCGGGCCATGAATGAATTATTGTTGTTGTTGTGGCTTCGAATCAAAGTTATTTGGTTCCACTTTCTTTGAGCATCTTTTCGTTATTCTTGCTTTCTTTCTTTCGGAAAGTCCAACTAATCATGCGAAGAAAAGGACCGGAGTAAACAAGTACTGTTAAGTTCAAGTAAAAAATGAAAACAATATTGTTAGTTTGTTTGCCTTTTCCCGCGGGATTTTCCCCTACATAAAGAAACATAAATTACTTATCAAAGTGAACAAGTCCAAGGATTACCATTTTTTTTTTCTTTTCCAAATGGTGATCACGGAATCTTTCATTTGGATATGAACGAGACTACTTAATATCTGTATTTTACACTTCTTTCATAATTCGTGTGTAATTACTTTTTCAACTTAAAAGTGATGGTTGCTTTAACAACGTGAATCAAACTGAAAGAATAACTAATGTTTAACTTACATTGATTGGCTCAACATCTGATCAACTAAACAATAAACTAATACACTTTATTACGGTAACCAGTAAAAAGTAATTTGATACAACATTGATTAAATTCAAAGAGCAGTTGTGCTTATTGAAGATCAAATATGGTATTAATCGAAGAAAATTATGTAAATTTTGAAGATAGTTTGAATACGGGATCCATCATATGAAGATCCAGTAATTTAAATTTAGAATGTTTCGATCGAATACAGAAATTAATAAATTTAGGATCTTCCACTCGGACAGAACTTAATCAACATTCACATATTCATTGACATCTAATTGCCATGATTGTTCACAGGTGACTACTAATATACCATACAGGTACGTCACAGAAGAAAACAAATGAAATTGTATTGAAATTAGGTTTTTAGTGTTCAATAATCGAGATTAGATTCCTGTCGTGATGCTGTCAACGGAAGAAAAATGTTAAACGATGAAACAGTACTTCATTCATTTTTTGACACAAATAAAAGAACTTAACTCCCCATAATCGCGGATGATTAATGTCTTGCTTTCTCTTTAATTAAAATGATGATATCATGTTGATCTTTTGTTTGTGGCGCTGCTAGCTGGTAATCTCATTGGATGGAGTTATATGTTGTCGAGTTTCCTTTTCAACCCCGTTTTTGCTTTCATAACGAACTTGTGTAATTTTTCTATCGCGTGTACATTTTCATTATGATGGTGTTTTTTCAAAATCAAACTTTGTTGTTTAGCATCGTGAACTAGTCATTTCTTAGAATATGTTGTTAAAAAATCATCAATTCCTAATGAAATTATTGGGATTCCTAGACAGAGTTATTTGTTATTTTTACTCAGTTTGGGAATCTCATTGTAATTTGCCATCCCATGTTTAGTGTTGATAGGGATGGGCTAGCTTAGGTTATTTAAGAGCTGGCTTGTGCGCCAAAGTGCTCTAAGAAAACCTAATCATATAATAAAAGAACAGTCGAGAACTCACGTTCACCGTGGACTAGTCTCGTTCATTCATGAATGGGGAAACCACGTAAATCCGATGTTTTGTGTTTTTGTTCTTTAGCCAATCTCGTGGAATTTTAAATGGTATCATAGTTGTGTTCTTGTTCAGTCAATTCTACTACCGGCATCGATGGTTCTCTTGGCGGTGGTGCCGCCGTTTGTCCTTCTCCCTTTACCATTCACCAATCGGATAACCCTAGCTAGTTGTTTGTTGGGGAACTTCTCACAGAAGTTAATTATGGAGAATGGGTAGGGGATATCACTAATTCTCTTAACAAGCTTGGTTTCGTCGATGGTACAATTAATGTGTCGACCTCATGAGGAGAAGATTATGATCTTTGGAAATAATGTGATGTGATGTGTTATAAACGCGGTGCTACGGATCGGGAAATCGTAGGAATCGACAAAGCAAGAATACGAAATCTCCAGTCATAGCGGTTGATAGTCCGATTCAAGTCACATCAACAAATCTCCACCTTGACTTGAATCCTCCTCCGCTGAAATCTCTGATGTACTCTGCTCCTTCTATCTCTCTCCCACCATCAATGCCCCGCAGGGCGGAGTCACCCACTCAAGACATTCAGCAAGTCCAAGCAGTGTTGGAACTTGCCATGTGGAACCGGCTTCGTGAACATATCAGCAGGATTATTTGCGGTGCCAACCTTCTTCACCTTAACCCTCTTCTCTGTCCTCAAGAAATGATACCTCACGTCGATGTGCTTAGTCCTCTCATGGTGAACTTGATCCTTGGCCAAGCATATTGCACTCAAACTATCGCAATACACCACTGCCTAATCATGATGTAGGCCTAGATCACCAACCAGTCCCTTCAACCATATTCCCTCCTTAGCAGCTTCTGTCAACGCCATATACTCTGCCTCAGTGGTAGACAATGTCACCGCCGACTGCAAAGTTGCCTTCCAGCTCACTACAGAACTCCCAAGAGTGAATACATAACCGGTCATCGATCTTCTCGTGTCCACATCTCCAGCATAGTCCGAGTCAGAATACCCAGACACCAAGCACTCTGTATCACTTCCGAAACTAATCCCCACATCAGGTGTACCCTTAAGGTACCGGAAGATCCTCTTCACAGCCTGCCAATGCTCCTTCCCAGGTTGTATCATAAACCTGCTAACAACACTAACAGCATGTGCAAGATCAGGTCTAGTGCATACCATAGCGTACATCAAGCTACCTACTGCACTAGCATATGGGACTCTCGACATGTACTCCTTCTCAGCCTCTGACTGCGGTGCATAAGCTGAGGATAGATGAACATTTGAAGCACTGGGAGTATTTAAGGGCTTTGCTGAAGACATGCCAAACCTCGATAGTATCTTCTGGATGTAGCTCTTCTGCGACAAGAAAAGCTTCTTCTTCGACCTGTCCCTGTAAATCTCCATACCCAAGATCTTCTGAGCAGCTCCCAAATCCTTCATCTCAAACTCAGCACTGAGAAGCCCCTTTAACTTCTGGATATCAGACTTTGACCTCGCAGCTATGAGCATATCATCCACATACAGAACAAGATAGATCATCGAACCATCCTCCACCTTGTTGTGATACACACAACAATCATATGGACTTCTGCTATAGCCCAGCTCAAGCATGTAACTGTCAAAACTCTTGTACCACTGCCTCGGAGATTGCTTAAGTCCATACAAGGACTTCTTCAGCTTACAAACATAGTCTTCTTTTCCCGGAACCTTGAATCCTTCTGGCTGAGTCATGTAAATTTCTTCCTCCAACTCTCCATGTAGGAAAGTTGTCTTCACGTCTAGCTGCTCGAGATCCAAGTCATAATGTGCCACTATTGCTAGTAGCACTCTGATAGAAGTATGTCTGACCACTGGTGAGAAAATCTCATTGTAGTCAACTCCTTCCCTCTGCGAGAAGCCTCGTGCAACCACCCGAGCTTTAAATTTCATGCCCTCTTTAGAAGTGTTTCCTTCCTTCCTCTTATAGATTCACTTGTTTGTAACAATCTTCCTTCCCTGTGGTCGTTTGACTAGCTCCCAAGTCTGATTCTTGTCATGGGATTCCATCTCATCTCCCATTGCGGCAAGCCACTGATCAGCTTCGCCACCCGAAATGGCTTCTCTATAGGACTGTGGCTCTCCTGCATCCACTTCTTCAGCAACCTGAAAGAATACGCCACCATGTCCTCGAAGCCATACCTCTGTGGAGGTACTCCTGCAGTCGCTCTCTTCGGTCTACCGGAAGCGATAGACTGTTGAGCTTCTGCACTGGTCTCTGAACTTTCTGGCTCTGCAGAGACAACCTCATCATGTTGATCTTCTCCACCTTGGTGCTCAAACTCACTCTCATTGAGAGTTTGCAGCTCCACCTGCTTATCAACATTCCTGCTACCTTCAATAACAGTAACCTTCAACATGGGGTTAAACATAGACTTCTCATCAAATATCACATTTCTACTGAGTATAAATCAATGCTCAGAAGGTGACCAGACTCGAAATCCCTTAACTCCATCTTCGTAACCCACAAATACACCCTTCTTTGCCCTTGGGTTCAGTTTACCCTCATCCACATGATAATAAATAGGACACCCAAAAACTTTCAGTGAAGAGTAATCAACAGGCTTACCATACCACACCTCATAAGGAGTCTTCAACTCAATACCTGTGTGAGGTCCACGGTTGATCAGGAAGCACGCCATGTTCACTTCTTCTGCCCAGAATCTTCTCTCTAGTCCAGCATTAGAGAGCATGCACCGTGCTCTCTCCAGCAATGTCTGGTTCATCCTTTCTGCAACGCCATTCTGCTGGGGTGTATCTCTCACAGTCCGATGACGGGCAATCCCTTCATCCTTGAAGAATTCATTGAACTCGGAATTACAGAACTCCAGACCATTGTCCGTTCGCAGCTTCTTGATCTTCTTCCCGGTCTGATTTTCCACCAATGTCTTCCACTGCTTGAACTTCGTGAAAGCCTCACTTTTCTGCTTCATCGTGAAAATCCAAGTAAATCTTGAATAATCATCAATAATAGACAGAAAATACCTGCTGCCTCCAATGGATTCAACTCGTGAAGGACCCCAACAGTCGGAGTGGAGGTAATCTAGTATCCCCTTCGTCTGGTGGATACCCTTCTTGGGAAACTTGCTGCGATGTAGCTTCCCAAACACACAATGCTCACAGAATTCCAAATTCTGCACCTTGTGCCCGCAAAGAAGATCTGATAGACCAATAATTACACATGTTTTTACCCCTATTCTTGAGCAGTTTGAGAGGTTGACTCTCGTGTTTAAGCCGATTTCACGCGAGGTTGTGTGTTTATGTCATATTTCAGGACCCGGCGTTGGAATCGAGGCTAGGAAACGAGGTTTGGGTTGAAAGGAGCGAAGTTGGGTCGAAGTGTGCTGCAGGAGGAAAATACCCGGTCGGGGGCTCAAATACCCGACCGGGTATTTATTGTTTTGGCA